TGACTCATGATGTTTTTTATTTGTTATGTTAGTAAGATTTATGTGTGATTGTTGTCTTTCCTTTTTAATCTATCAAATGAGTTTTTTTTTTAATTTGTTTATCGTTATGTAAATGTTGTTGGTATTTTAGTGTTATTTAGTCATTTTTAATTTGTTATCAGTGTTGTAATTTTTTTCAAAAATTTAAGATTTGATGAATATTTTAATATTAAAACAAAATTTGTATAGAATTTGTTAGTGTTACATTTGATACCAACTATAAGAGTTATTATATATAATAATAATAATAATAATAATAATAATAATAATAATAATAATAATAATAATAATAATAATAATAATAACAAGAATAATAATAAAGAATAATAAAAGTAAAAATCTAACCATAATTAATAGATTTTAAAACTAAAACATTTCTAAAAGAATTTAGTTCAATTTTATTTTAAGATGACTCATGATGTTTTTATTTGTTATGTTAGTAAGATTTATGTGTGATTGTTGTCTTTCTTTTTTAATCTATCAAATAAGTTTTTTTTTTCGATTTGTTTGTCGTTATGTTGTTGGTATTTTAGTGTTATTTAGTCATTTTTAGTTTGTTATTAGTGTTGTAATTTTGTCAAAAATTTAAGATTTGATGTATATTTTAATATTATAAAAAATTGTATAGAATTTGTTAGTGTTACATTTGATACCAACTATAAGAGTGATTATACATTTAATAGTAATAAAATAATAATAATAATAATAATAACAAAAATAATAATAAAGAATAATAAAAGTAAAAATCTAACCATAATTAATAGATTTTAAAATTAAAACATTTCTAAAAGAATTTAGTTCAATTTTATTTTAACATGACTCATGATGTTTTTATTTGTTAAGTTAATAAGATTTATGTGTGATTGTTGTCTTTCCTTTTTAATCTATCAAATAAGTTGATCCAAAGTATCTAACATTGTGAAGGATAATATGTCCACAGGATAGCAGAAGGTGTTGGGAGATGTCCAATATGTAGAAAGAAGATAGAGAAAGTGAACCTAATTTATACCGTGTAAAATATATATGAATCAGTGTAATCATGAAACAAAAAATATTATTAATTAATAATTCAAAAATATAATTCAAGTATTGACAAGTATATTATTTTTTTCACTGCGTTTTCTTTTGGTGTTTGACCACCATCTTTGTGATAATACCATTGTGTAACCCCATCATAGGATATGAATTTTATTGAATGTTATATTTCGGAAATGTAATGAAATCTCTTTAGTTAGTCCCTAGCTTAGCGAGATTTTTGTTTTTGGACCACAAATTTATTTTATTAAAATTCAATTTTTTTTACTACAAAGGAAAGAAGAAATTTCCTTTTTGGCAAGGAAAAGAAAATTGGCATGGTGGTGATTTTTATTCTCAAAAGAGGAAGATGATGAAGTATTGTGATGGATAGAAAGATTTAATCATATTTTGAAAAAAATAATAAAAAAAGAAAAAAAAAATATTTTAATAGATTTTAATAAGTAAATTCTTTTCACAAAAATATTAGGTCAATTTTATTCTACGATGATTCATGGTTAAATTCCCTTAATAAGATTTACGTATATTTCTTTTTTCTTTCTTTTTAATCGACCGAATAAGTTTTTTTTTTGTTTTCAATTTGCTTTTGTTATATTGTCATTATTATTTTTTATTTATTTAGTTACTTATATATTTATTTATTATTAATGCTGTAACTTTCGTCAAAATTCAAAATTTGATGTCAACAATATTTTGTAACTTATATAAATATAAGAAAATAGTTAAAAAAATTGTGATTGAATTTTTTAGTTAGTCCATAGATTTGTAGTGAAGTTTTTTTGGAACACAACTTTTTACATTAAATCTCAAATTTTATGACAACAAAGGAATGAGGAAATTCACATCCACAATGACAAGTAAAATAAAGAACGTATGGTGGTGAATATTTTTGTCAAAAGAGTAAGATGATGGAGTATTCTTATGGCTAGAAGTTTCTTATATTTTAAAAATATAAACAAATTTAATAATAATAATAATAATAATAATAATAATAATAATAATAATAATAATAATAATAATAATAATAAAGAATAATAAAAGGAAAAATCTAACCATAATTAATAGATTTTAAAACTAAAACATTTCTAAAAGAATTTAGTTCAATATTATTTTAAGATGACTCATGATGTTTTTATTTGTTATGTTAGTAAGATTTATGTGTGATTGTTGTCTTTCCTTTTTAATCTATCAAATAAGTTTTTTTTGTTTTTCGATTTTTTTGTCGTTATGTTGTTGGTATTTTAATGTTATTTAGTCATTTTTAATTTGTTATTAGTGTTGCAATTTTTGTCGAAAATTTAAGATTTGGTGTATATTTTAGTATTAAAACAAAATTTGTATAGAATTTGTTAGTGTTACATTTGATACCAACTATAAGAGTGATTATACATTGAGGGGGTGTATCAATTATCCTTTGCCTGCAAACGTGAAATTGACATGGTTTTTCTCACTAAAGCCCTTTTGTGACTTAGCTGGTACTCAACAAACCTGATTGGTGTATTAAGATCAAGGTCGTTTTCGTTGGTTTTGGGTTATTGGTTATTTGGTAGGTTCGATCGGGATATCGCCTCTTTGTTGTAGAAGAGTGCCAAAGAGACTCGATCCATACTGGAGTTAACGATCACATGATGCTCCACACTTTTGTACACCCATTGCTAAGTATCTAAAACTTATTGAAACATATTATTTGGTTAGTATCTAGGCCATCTAATTCGATTTCCATAAAGTAGTTTCATACGATGATTACATGAGCCTTTGCCCAAAAAATTGTTTTGAAAATGTCCAGAAAATCATTAGCCCAAAATACAAAAGCAATATGTTGAAGGGTGAAAGACCATACATGAGTTTGGAATAATTTGGGTTCATACTTTCTTTTTATTTATGAAGACAGATACTAGTTTGGATAATATGTGAAAATGTCGAAATATGTATAGTTTTGAAGGTCGACAAAAAAAGTATAGTTTTGAATCCACCGATATAAGATAATATCATTTTATTCCACTAAAGTTGTAAACAGAGAGACTTGGGAGTGAAGCTAAGTAGCTAACGCTACGACTGGTCGCCGATAATTAAGAATCACACAATATTACAAAAGTATACTAAACCCGAAGCTTCTCGCAATGGTGTGATGAAACATCAACGCAATACAATCGTCACATTAATAAGATTTAGCATGACCAATGAAAAGCAGTCAATGGTTTTAAACCGAAAAATAGCCCAATTACAATTTAAAGTTTGCATAAAGGGGTTTAGATTTTAGCCAGAAGTATATAAATAACTCTCACCATTGTGTTTCACTTAATCTATTCAATTATATAGACTATTTTCTCTTAAATACCACATTTTATATATTGTTACAATTATCACAATTTTATTTTAATTTATAAATAAATAATATATATGAAGGATTTTGACAAAGTTGAAGTTTTTGAATCTTTGGAAACAATGGTTGTATTTAAAAAGGTTATCTCTTATATATTAAAAGAGAAGCATTTTGCATTAAATGTTTTCACACCATTTTCTCACAATTTATTACCTTATTTACTACCTTCTCACAATTTATTACCTTATTTACTACTTTCTCACAATATATTACCTTATTTACTTCAACAGTTGTTTACCTTATTTACTTCAATTATAAAACACACGAGATACTTTAAAACTACAAAGTTCAATATCGCATGAGACAAGTTCGGAGACAAGTGAATTGGCTTGAGGGTCGATGTCAAAGTTCTGGAACGTCGTTATTAGAGCGGTGGGACGTATCTAAGATGATGGATGTGAAGGGCAACGTACCGGAGCCCATGAACGCGATCTTAGTTTGGACATGGCTCGTGTGTAGCGTGAAGAGATTGAACTCAACCTTGCTAAGTTTGAGGTAGTTAGTGTACTAAGGGTATATCTAAATGGTGAAATGTGTTGTCTTCGAGAGATCCCAAGGCCGTATAGTAGTGGTGCTCTGAAAACTCTATATCTTCACTACGTAGGTTGGTGAGATTAGTTCTGTAGTTTTGGACTTTTGGGCACAAGTTTTTAACGTCGATTTTTGTATCCATAGGCAAGGACGTGGACATGAGCTATTGAACAAATTGTCGACATATATATATGTGAAAGGTTTAAGGGCTCTTGAGATTGGAGATTTCGTTATACAAGTCGAGAATTTGCTTCTCGAAATGAGCCTTTTCACAACCCATCTCGAGACTAAAAGGAAATTTGGGATTGTCTCAATACTCTTAATGGTGTTGACATCAATATACTTTCATCTTACGTATTTCCATGTCGTGTGGATGACAAAAAAAACATATATATGAGACAAAATCGCAATTTAACCAAAAAAACAATATTTATAATATAGATATATAATTGGACGATATTAAAACCCGAAACAACCAATCCAAAACAAACTAATATGCAAATAAAACAGATATAATGTCTTCTTATCTTCAAAAATACAATAAATTTAATCATCTCATTCCGCGCAAGGCGCGGGTCTAATCCTAGTGGAAAAGTATTATCAAAGTTGCATTTTTTTCTATAATTATCCCAACACCAAGAAAGAGTGGTGATAAATCTATTTCAAATACATTTGGCAAAAGAATTGGCAAAAAAAAATAAACCATATGATTGATTAAATGTCGACTGTCAAATCTAGAATTTTATTTGTCAAACATAAAGTGATTATTATGAGAAGAAAACGATAGAAATATCCACATCCGTGAATAGATCACCAGTCAAGTTGTTAATAGATTAATTCTTTAATTAGAGGCTAATCCTTTTTCAATAGGCCATTTAAATAATTAGAGTGTTAATTAACATCAAATAACGACACATTTACCGAAAGCTTTTTCTTTAATATTTTGTCAAAAGAAAACAGAAAAAGTAAATAATATTTGAAAAAATCCAACCAAAAAAAAAAAGTAAACGCGTAGACAGATGGCGACATGAGAAAGAGAGAGTGGAGAAGAAGAAAAGAATTACGATCAAAGAAATAAGACATCTTTCTCTATACGTTTTCACATTACAAACTCAAAGCAAAAAAAAGAAAAGAAAACTGTATTTTTCATTTTCGATCTAAAAAGTGAAATCTAACCTTTGCTTTAGTCTTTAGAGATCGTTTTGGTGATTCTTGTTTTGATTAGTTCTTGATATGGATCAGCATCATCAGCTTCACCAGCTTCAATACCTCAACAAACATCATCACCATCTTCATCCTCAATCTCAAACTCCCGAGCTAGCTTCTCCGGCTACAGGGGATAGGTTTCCACAGTGGAGCCTAGAAGAGACTAAGGAGTTAATAGCCATAAGAGGAGAGTTGGATCAAACTTTCATGGAGACTAAGCGTAACAAGCTTCTTTGGGAAGTTGTCTCTAACAAGATGAGAGACAAAAGCTTTCTTCGTAGCCCTGAACAGTGCAAGTGCAAGTGGAAGAACCTCGTCACTCGCTTTAAGGTCCACAACTTAATCCCCTCTCTTTCCTTTCATGTTATTATATTTAATTCTATAGTGTGTTACATGTCGTGCATGAAACTATGCTATATATATGCAAAATGAATATATATGTTAACTTAGTATTTTCCCTAGATAGATTATGTTACATGCATGTTATCTTATTGGTCATGTGTATCCAGGGATGTGAGACAATGGAGGAAGAGACAGCAAGACAACAGTTCCCTTTTTATGATGATATGCAAATTATATTTGCAAGTAGAATGCAAAGAATGTTATGGGCTGAATCCGAGGGAGGAGGAGGAGGGGGAACAAGCGGGATAACGAGAAAGAGAAGTCACTCAGAGCAGTTTTCTTCAGATGAGGAAGAAGAGAACGTGAATGAAGAGCTAGTAGATATCAGCAATGAACCCAAACCCCTAAACCCGAAAAAGAACATTGCAAAGAAGCGAAAAGGCGGTATTAGTAATAGTAGTGGTGGTGCTAATAATAGTGTAAGAGAGGTTTTGGATGAGTTTATGAGACATCAGCTGAGGATGGAGAACGAGTGGAGAGAAAGATGGGAGGTTAGGGAGAAGGAGAGAGCAGAGAAAGAAGAAGAGTGGAGAAGGAAGATGGAGGAGCTTGAGAAGGAGAGGATGGCTATGGAGAGGATGTGGAGGGACAGAGAGGAACAAAGGCGGTCGAGGGAGGAGATGAGGGCAGAGAAGAGGGATTCACTAATCAATGCATTGCTTGCTAAGCTTACTAGAGATGGTTCTTTCTAGCTTTACTATTTTAACGTAAGTTAAGTTGGTCTCTTTCTATGCATGTTTGAGGTGTAGTTTAGTCATTTGGTGGGAATAGTTAGTATATTCATGGAAAAAAAAAACTCAATACTCATAATATTGAGTTTTTAGTGGGACTTTAGGAATATATTAACCCCACATTCTTTTTTCTCCATGCTACTACTGATTCTGGTTAATCTATTGGGCCATGTTATAATTTGCATACCATTTATCTCAATGTGATAATGGTTTTCCAAGTCGGTCACCGACCTCTTATGGCTCATCAGTTCATGATACTCTCTGAAAACTACAGGTATTGTCGTTTATATAAAAATAATAATTTAAAATGAGTATTTTCAGTAGTTTGTAATCATTTAATATTATTAGAAAAAAAAGAAAATGAATTATATTTTGGAATTTATGATTCAAAGAAATTTTAGGATACTGAATTTTGCTGAAAAAAGTTGAACATAAGAAGTGGCAGACATAGTTATTTCTCCCACGTCTGGATTCAAAATTTTCAAACAATATTTTTTGTTTCTTCTGTATTTGATATCAACATGATAACTAGTTACATGCAATTATATCTTCGTGGCCCATAAGAATATCAAAAATTATAATCATATCAAGGAATGTATTATATGCATAAAGAAAAGAAGGTACACGCGTTTAGCTTTGGCGTTTAGGTGAATGAATGAGAGAACCGTGTATCGTCTCGTTGAAACTTGAAAGGGACAACAAGACATACTGTCAGTGACATTGACCTTTTTGTTTGGCAAAGCCAATGCCACAACTTGTCTCCTTCTGACTCGAGGTCGGTCCTCAAACTCCATTTCCGATTTAGTTGGTTGGTATTTATACTTTCACCCTTTATTAGTGATTTCTATTTAATATATAGTTTGCATGTGTTGTGTACACTAGATTCAGACATCAAGCAAGATCATGCAACTAGCTTAACGAGGCCACTAAGATATCTCACCCATACGATCAGATATTAGCATACAATCAAAACCAATATTCAAGAATCACTAGATGCTATTTAGACAATTTATATGGGATTATTAATCAGGCTGATGACTTTTAGTTGGAGAGATAACTAGACCAAATTTTGCAAAAAATTATATAAAAAATTATAAGAAATCATTTTGTTTAGGTATGAAATACTGACTATTACAAACTCGAATCGGTTGAAACATTCGTATTGAACCTCAAACTTTTTTGAAGAAATTATATGTACATAGACAAAAACAAATTAAATCTCCAAATCAGTAAAAAACAATTTAGTTAAAATCGTTAAAAAATCGTCTTATACTCTCCTGGGGATTATGAAGACATTTAAGCACCACCTAGACCAGTTTTTTGAACATTGATCAAAACCATACCAGTCAAAACAGTATATACTCTTTTATTAATCAAACCAAATATGCATGTGGAAGTCGCATTCTCTGCACATATTAGTTGATTAAACATACCCAAATCTAACCAGCATTAAATCTTCTCAGTAGCACCTATAAACCGGTCTTAATCAAAACTCAACCAGAACTAAATGATATAACTCTAATGGTCTCTTTAGATATAAAGAAAACCAGTTCTCAAAGTCATTTGCAGCTCTTTAAAGTCAGCTCTAGAAATTAAAAGAAAAAAGGATTACGATTCATAGAAACAATAGATTTGGCAGCCTTCATAAGGGCACAACATAGCCACTCTCATATTATTATCCTATCTACTTCCTTCATCGTATACTTCTGAAGACGCCTCCCTTGGTGTAAAAACCCCACTCACCCTGAATTTCAATCACCGAGAGACACATAAGAGAACATGTTGCAACAGAAGTGGTAAAAAAAAGATCATTAAGTTATAGGATTCTAGCAGTTCGCCCTAACACTCCCAGGCACGGGGCTCGAGGTACACCAAGCTTCAGTGTTTTCCGGCGCCGGCGACGCGTTTTCTCGCCGGCGCGGGACTCTCTCGTCGACACCAACCTCTGCCTTCATCTCACTGTTCGTTGTTCACTTCAAAATCATCTCACTGCTCGTTGTTCACTTCAAAGTTAAGATGCTACGGAGTCGTAGCCTTCTGCAGATCGGAGAAAAGGATACCCGACGGAGCCTTTGCCGGAGATATGAGCTTTGGTTCTTTGTCTTCACTGTAGTCCTCCCGATGGCTCTCCCTAACTGTCCGGTCTGCTCTCCAGCGGTGAGTCGAGAGGGTTCTCTTGCTACCGCGCTTCTTAAGTTCACGGGAATGTTTCCCGACGAACTCCACCCTGGCTGTGCCGTCGACCTTACCCGCGCTCTTCAACCTCTCATGGAGCGAAGATCTCAACACTCAGACTCTTGCTTTCCATCTCTGGGAAGTGAGACAGCAAAACTACCGCGTATCGTTCCTTTCCACTCATATGGCGCCAGAGTACAAGGCAACTCAAGCCCAGATCCGAATCTCATCGGAAGATCTTCACTTTCCCCGCCTCCTAGTGAGCTGCCATTACCTCTTGTGTGTGCTTTCCTCAACGGTCGATCTGCGTATCTCCGCCAAACGTCTCTTTCTACATCTGTTTTCGATGGTCACTCAGCTTGCTTCCGTGAGCTCGTCTCTCCGCCGGTGAGTACCATCTATCTATCAGTCGACGTTTGCTGCGCCATCTACGACCTTGAACTTAGATCCACGACGTCTCGCACTTTGCCGGCGTTTGCTTCAGAATNTTCCTCAACGGTCGATCTGCGTATCTCCGCCAAACGTCTCTTTCTACATCTGTTTTCGATGGTCACTCAGCTTGCTTCCGTGAGCTCGTCTCTCCGCCGGTGAGTACCATCTATCTATCAGTCGACGTTTGCTGCGCCATCTACGACCTTGAACTTAGATCCACGACGTCTCGCACTTTGCCGGCGTTTGCTTCAGAATCAAAGAGATTTGTACCTAAGTGGGCCTGGGCCAATTCCTTTTTTGAAGCTATAAAGCTGATTACCAAGAATCTAAAATCCAGAGTTTCAAATCAAAACATGCGATATATGCGATATATAGCTACGGGTATGACTTCTTTGGTTATTTTAAAGATGTTTGATGGGTTCTTTGGACTCTATAACTTGAAATTATTGCAATTTCATTTCTCTGGGAAGAATTTCTATGTGGTTTCACCGACCCTGGTATGGGTTTCATCATCCTCTTCAAACGAGGAGAATCTTTCACAAATATGCCTCCCTTCTATGATTGGAGATGCTATCTTGGGTTCTCTGCTGAGACCTTATTTCAACTTAATCGCCGGTTTGTTACCTTGCGTAGCGGTCTCTACGGGGCCAGAAGGTGCAATCGAGATTGCTTCGGTTTTTCTCGTTGGTGAGGGTTGTCCCTCAACGTCACTTGTGACTATTTCTCAGCTATCCAACTTTGTTGTGAAAGCTTCTTCGACGCATTCAAACTTTGTTTTGAATCTGCTGTCAACTTCATATGAAGAAGACTTATCCTGTTTGATCTCATTTTTCATTTTATGTTATGATTTGTCTTCAAGAGGATGTTTAATTCCCTCTTATCTTTGTAGTCCTCCATGTTAAGTTTTTAATGAAAGCTGTGTTTCAAAAAAAAAAAGTTATAGGATTCTTACACGTTGCCATTTCTCATTGCTGTTTCTTATGGAACAACTTCATCTGAGATAACAGCCTTTCCCAAATAAACCTGTTGCATCTCCTCTTTCCAGATCTGCATCAACTTAATAATTCATTTTTTTTTCCAACAAGAAAAAGATTTAACCTGTGTAGAGATATCAAAAGTTTGTGACCCCCTACCGTGTCACGGAACTCCACCCTTATGTGAGGTACATTTGTTTTATGAATGTCGTTTCCATCAGGTCCTCTTTTGTAGTAGTCTTTTCCAATCCAGTGCGACTAAAAACATATCAAAGAATCGCAATTAATCAGGAAACCGAAGCAAAGACAAGTATCTGATACTATCCATGTGTGAATATAACAAGTACCTTCAGGGCATGTGAGAAACCTGACTGGTAAACTGAGTTACGAGCTATCTCGCACAGGTCACATGAACTAAGCTTCCAAACCTGAAAATTCCATTTATTATCTTTAGTCAATACATCAAGGACTTATATCTAAAGACGATTAACTTTCTTTATCTATGATGATGTGTGACATGACTTACCGAGGCAGCAATGCTGTACTCTTCCACGAGAGGTTCTTTGGTTAAGTGAATCTGAAGTGGATCATCCGTGGACAGGGAAACATTGAGACCTCTTAAGAAAAACACAGGAAACGGGTTCCTGTGGTAATCTAGAAACAGAGAGTTGTTGCTCAGTGGAGACATGGCCAAACCAATCTGTCAAAAAGAAATGTAATAGATGTCCAGTCAGATATTCTTAGACAATAGACAATAACACAAGAGGCAGTAGTCTCTGCAAACCTGGGCGAGGTAGTAGAGATACTGAAGCACAGGAGACTTTCGTAGATTGATTCCATGAGCAATGCTATGGCATGTGAGAAATGTAGCAGCCAAGTGGTCAATGTCACCAGCCTGAAATTTATAGACAGCTTGAACATCCATTGAACTGAAAGTGAAAACAGTTTGTAAAGCACAAAGGAATAAGTAAGTTACCTCCCCAGAATGTGGCCTTAGTGTGATCGTTGTCATGCCCTTTGACTCTCGAAGCTGGAAAAAAAAAAAATAACAACTCACTCCATATGGCACAGTTTTGAAACTACAATGTTAGTTGCAGCAGAGACCAGGAATGGTACCTTGTTTAACACATAGAGGTTAGCGTAACAGTAGTAGACGTAGTAAGAAAATGCAGGATTGAATGCGTTAGTCCATTGAGCTGGAGTGGGCATGTGTTTTGTGGGACGTCTTTCAGGTTTGCTTTCATCATCGACCAAATCAAATCCAACAACCTTAAATACCAAACAAGAAACCAGCAATCAAACAAACAGCAACAGCAACAAGTTAAGCTATATTTTTAATAGTTTTGATAGGTATAAGATGCTAACCTGCTTCAAAAAAACATGGAGCTGGGGATGCGAATCGGGATCTACGGTGGCTTCAAACAGAGGAATGAATATATTGTCAAGGATGTTTTGGAACGATGTCACAATACCCATGTCCTTGTAGATGTTGTACAGGCGTGGGAGCTAGTGAAAATAGATACATAAAACAAGGGAAGCATATGTGAGTTAGCAGTCATCTGACAAACAGACGGAGAGAGAGAGAGAGAAACATAAGAGTCAAAAAGATAGCCAACCTGAATTAACCAGACAACATTCTCACTGTATAGATCATTGTTCACAATCCAACTAGCCAATTGGTCCCACTCACTCATTTTTCTGCCGTATATAGATATTCTGTATTCAGCCATCTGCAGTGTTCAAAGTTACCTCATCAGGTTATCCATTGATTGTAATAGTGTTCTTCTGTTATCAAGCTCTTTCTCAATGAATAAGACTACTACATATGAACGTGAAGATCACCTGATATTTGCTAGCTTCAAGGTCGGAGAAAACTTGTTTTGTTATCTCGCCAAGAAAACGACCTGAATCCAAAAACAAAAGACTCAAAAACTTATCTTGAAATCACCACAGTTTAACATATATTTGTAGTTCATCACATGGTGAGGAAAAGTATATGTAAAAGTAAGTGGCTAGTATATATATGATATTGTGCATAACCTACGTATCAATTGAGCTAAAATGGTGTACAAAAGTATATAAATACCTTGGATGAGATTATCCTGTTTAAGGAAAATTTCCCTCAGCCTACTCTGACCACATGGATTGTACTTGAGATTGAACTTGTCAAAGCGATGAAAGGTGCTCTTGTCAGCATGAACATCCAAAAGGTCGACATTCAGATCATATCTGTGAAAGGTTCAAAGAAAGAGAAAAAGGTTAAACTCTTCAGCGTAATGGTAAAATGGAATAAGATACAGATAATACATCATAACACAGGTGACTCCTCAGAGAGTAATTTAACAGTCTTGCAGTTAAATTGTGACATCTACAGTATAAATATTGGAAATGTAACTTACCCAGTCAAATCCAGACTCTCAAAAACTTCTTTCAAGGTCAAATATGTTCCATCCCTAAATATGACAACCTGCATAGAGCAAAAAGTTTACCATACCTACAAACTAGTAAAGTATATACTCTCCTAAATCACATGGTTCCCAATAGTTACCTCATCAGGTTCTTTCCTGAGCTTCGACTTGATAAACCTTAAGAGGTGTTTCTGGTTCATGCAAGCTGAATGATGAACATGGGTATCGACTTTCCTAACGTTATAGAAATCACGATGTGGTGCACTTTTTTGGGCAAGAAACTCTTTATCCGCGTTAAGCATCAAATGGAGATTAAATTTCTGAGACACAAAAAAAAAACAACACATAATGTTAAATAGATGAAACTTGCTTACTGAAATTATTTCTTTTATAGCTAAAAACTTGCCTGTTCTAGGAGCACTAGTCGACGGTGGCACAAAGTTCTCATGTTTCCAGCAGCTATGACTTTGAGAACGTGATGCAAGTCAGTGAAAAAAGCTGTGGCATCAGCTACAGGGAAGAGCTCTTCTTTGACTGTGAATAAGGAAACAGAACACTGGTTATTATATTGGCAAAAAGAGAAGGAATGTAACCAAATCAACTTCCAATGTTTGTGGTCTTACCGTCTTTATTTGGAAACACATGGACTACTCCATCTTGCATCTCAAAATGATGCTGCCAAACAAAATCAAAGAGTTAAATTCATCAAATGCATAGTGAATTTCCATGAAAGAGAAAAGGAGAAAAAAAAACTCACGTCAGACTTTCCTTGAGGATAGTGTGCAAATGGCTCTAAGTTAGGCTTTGGGGTACTAGGATCAGATATGACTTCTTTTTCCCATGGCGCAACTGTTTCTTGGAACACATACCTCTTCCTCAATTCAAGACATTCTTGCAGACATTTATAGGCTTCAACTTCATCCGACGTTGGCACCTCTGAACAAATCATGTGTAAAGTATCAATAAGAAATGGACTGAACGAAATGTTTACGGTATAACTTTAATCTATGGTTTAGAGATTCAAAGGCTCAGCTTCTAAGCTTTAACTAACCCTTTATTTGTAGTGCCACTTCTCATTGCCACTAGCAAATATTTTAAACTAGTGGAGCTTACAAATTAATCATGTCATAATTTGTGATAACAGGACAAAAAACAAGTAATAATTCTTACCGAGAGGAACATTAAGACGGACAAAAGTCTCTTGTTCCGGCTCTTTACGAAGAATGTCAGCTGCAATAGGATCAGGCTGAACTCCATGTAGATCACCAGACACACTGTGTGAACGAATCATACTTGAAGCAGCCATAGATATTTGCTCTTCAGTAGCATCCGCAGGCTGAACAAGAAAAAAAAAAAAAGCATACTTATAAACCTATTGCTTTGTCTTCTTCAATCAACAAAAACAAGGATTGAATTCAAAACACTCACCAAGTCCCCATTAGCTTGCAAGTAAGAAGCATCCAAACCTGCACTATCAGTCAAATTATCTTCATCATCTGATTCTCCCATACTCTCAAAGGCGCTAGCACTAGCAACAGGAGACTTTGGAGAGATTGGTCTAACAAAGCTTCCAGTTTTCCTGATACTATTAGTCCCATGTACAGAAGATCTCCCTGTAAACAACATCACAAACCTTCAGAAAATTGAAACACACACTAAACCCAGATAAAAAAAAGTTTGGATCTTTTTCCGATAAATCACACTAAAACATGCTCAAACTCTAATCTGATCAATCAACAACACTCAGAGGAACCAAAACACACTTAACCCAGGATTAATAATTGGATCCTTTTCCCGGCAAACATGTTCAAACTCTAACTTGATCAATCCACGACACTCAGAGGAACCAAAAGACCCAGAAACAAAATTTGGATCTTTTTTCCGACAAACTCTAACTTGATCAATCCACGACACTCAGAGGAACAAAAAGACACTAACCCAGAAAAAAAAAATGGGATCTTTTTCCGACAAACATGTGCAAACTCTAACTTGATCAATCCACCGAGAGGAACAAAAAGACACTAACCCAGAAATAAAAATCAGATCTTTTCCGACAAAGATGTTCGTACTCTAACTTGATGAATCCACGACACTCAGAGGAATCAAAAGACACTAACCCAGAAAAAAAGTTGGATCTTTTTCCGACAAACATGTTCAAACTCTAACTTGATCAATCCACGACACTCAGAGGAACCAAAAGACACTAACCCACAAATAAAAATAGGATCTTTTTCCGACAAAAATGTTCAAACTCTAAATATGATCAATACCTTCAGATGGAGTATGAAGCCTAGGCAAACCAGGAGGGATCTCATCCACATAAACATGGCCGTTACTACGCCCTGCATCACTGCCACCGCCGCCGCCATCGGCGGCTCCGGTGAAGGGAGTTGCATCTGGAAGAGAAGCTGGGCTGTATCCTTTCCTTCTGACTTGGCTTCTCCGCCTCGAAAGACTCTGACTTTGATGCTGCGGCGAGTCTCCTCCTTCGGTGTTGTTCTCTTTCTTCTCTCTACCACGCTCGAGGACGAGATTCAGGGCCTTGAAGTGCATAAAGAACCCTGAAACGGCAACGAAGGAGGCTCCAAAAAGAGCCGCGAGGGCAAGTTGGTAAATATTCGGTTCCATGATAGAGCAGCCAGACAGACAAAATCTCTGTTTCTGTGTTGAGGTCAGAGTCAGTAAGCCACGAGTTTGGTTTGAGTGGCGATGGCTATATGATAGAAGAAGAGAAAGGTTTTCTGTTTTTAGATATTTATAGGCCCATCCAGTGTAACCACGCCACTTGCAGGCCTTTTTGGTCTTGAAAGTAAAACCTCTTTAGGGTAAATCCCCTATATATTAATTGAGAAACATTTGAAAAGATGTAACCTCAAGTTTGTATTAATTAAAAAGTAATGTTGCTTAGTTGTCAATCAATTAGCATATCAATTAAACTGACGTGGCGGCTTTAGGTTCAATTGAAATTTGCTAGGGAAAAATAATTAGAGACGCATATAACGCATGTAACATAGTTTATATATTTATATATATCGCACACATGTAATGGAAGAAAAGGAAAATATACGATTCGATAACGATTTGCATATATTAACTATAATAACTTCATTCCTTTTAATTTATGGAAGTGTATATGTAAAATGGAAAATACTTAAATTCAAATAATCATAACGTAATTTATAAATCATTGGTGTAAAGTTTTGTTACACAAATATGCAAATAATCATAAAATCATATGAGTAGAAACCTCATTTAATAAATATCCATATTA